TAGGCAGATGTCGCTACCTACACTATGTATACCTGAGAGGATGCTGTCCCTTACTCTCTGACCAGTGAATTTCACAAGGAAACCCATTTTGCTACCTGAGAGCCACAGGTCATTTGCTGAATTATCTTTAAACTTTCTTTCTTTCTTTTTTTAAATATATTTTTATTGATTTCAGAGAGGAAAGGAGAGGGAATCATTGATCAGCTTCCTATGCACGCCCCATACTGGGGATCGAACCCACAACCCAGGCATGTGTCCTGACAGGGAATCAAACCTTGATCTCCTGGTTCATGGTCGATGCTTAACCACTGAACCACTTCAGCCAGGCATCTTTAAACTTTCTAATTAAACAAAGAACTTTGCTTAATTTTTGGTAGTAGGATTGCCTTTCGTTGTCTTCTTGAGTGTTTGTACTATTGCCAGTTGATGTTTTATTTTTATTACTTTAATTTCCATTATTATATGCTATTTTATATTCTTTTGTTTCTCTTTTATTTCATTTTACACAGTCTGCATTGTCAACCTTTTTTTTCCTATGAATTACAGATGCAAAACGGCCTGTAATGGAACCCATCTAAAATAAGGGAGGACGTGTGCCTTTGATCCCCAGAGCTGCACGAAAAGGTCCACAAAGCATGTTGCCCTTGTCATCTCCTGGTCCCTAAAGATGGGACTTAAGGAAGTTGCCAGGATCACACCTAGAAATTATTTTCAAGAAACCCAGTGGACATAGTCCAGATTAGAATTCCCTAAACAAAAGTAAGAAAGCCCCAGAAGAAAAGTTTCTTGGATTAGAGTTATTCTGTTATCTTCAAGACCATCCATTCCTCAGTACAAGTGAAAGCTTTTATTTTCTTTCTCCATGATATGATATTGGCAGGGCCTAATGAGACCTTATAAAGAAAAGCTCGTTTGATTACAGTGGCGTTACTCTATCAGCTCCAGGGATTCATATACAGTGTGGATGTGCGTAAGTGTGACTATAAATTACATAAACTTGAAGTTACATAATATAAAATGTTAATAAAGTCTCACTTTATCTGAATACTTCTAAATAAAACAGATTCCCTCCCTAAATCTAGCTGGCTGAATAAATTATAAACTATAATTCTGCCATAAGAAAGTTCCATTTTAGCTGGTAAACAGAAATGCCTAACATACTGTGTCATGTCAAATGAACCAATGTTGTTGTTTATATTAGAACTTCTCTTGTGATTTCATACATTATTTGGTTATTTTAACATTTCCTATTTTCATTAGTTTTCAAAAATAGAGGATGTTCTAAAAAAATGTATACATACTTTAACATCTGATAGCTCACTTAATTTTCACTCCTTTTTAGGTTTAACTGATTTGAAATAATGGGTGAAGTCAAACTAAGCTTTGAGCAAAGAAAATTTATCCTAAAGTGCCACTAGACTTTTTTATGGCAATACATAAAAGATACATTTACAGTACGAAACCAGCAACAGTTGACAAATTGAGGGCGCACAAATGCTGAATAAAATGATTCTTGATATTTGCAATTCCATTGCTTCAGGTTATTAGCAGTGCCTGGACTAGAATGGTCATCAGTTTGAAAATAGGCATTAACAAATATAATTATTCATTTCTGTAGATTCCTTTAAATTTTGAAAATGAACTGTATGTTAATCAACACTGGCTTTATAGTCATTCAGTGTGTATACATTTTGGGGGGACACCCTATATAAATAATAATAATATCAAGGAAATATTCATTAAGCTATCTGCCTTTTCTTTCACTACATCAATTTTGTTAACACATTCCCAGGCATAGCTAATTCATTGCTGTGTTAAAAACCACACCCTCAAATATACAGGGGTAAGCAAAAGGAGGTTTATGGAAAATAATACAATGTTTCATGTACTCACAACTGTAAACCTGCTTTTGCTCACCCCTGTATATGTTTGAAATGTGATAAAATGTCAAGGAAGCTAGGCAGTCACCATGTTGAGCTATACTTTTAATCTCTACAAAATGCTAAAGACAATGTTAAGAAAAAATTATTTAAAAGAATTAAAGCAAAAATATCCCACAGTGTTTGTTGATCCTTGTGCTTCATTAATGTTTACCTCCAATTTTACTTTATCCATGCACATTAAAATGTATTTTATATTACATTTCCTCTTTGAGAAAATTTGTTTTGAATTATGCAAGGATTGAATCATGCAAGGTCTTAAGGAATGCAACCTTCCTCAAGTGTCCTCTAAATTCAAGCTCTAAAATATGGAGTTGCTTGTTTGTTCAGATCCTTAGAATGTTTTGAATCACCTTCCTCGGTGACCAAAACTCTTTCCCTGGAAAATGATGAAATTAAATAGCAAATGGCAAGATGATGAACTCCCCCTTCAGCTTAGACTTTGACATTTTGTTTCTGAGAGACATGGTTGTTGGAAGATAAATTCCCTGATGTCTACCATTTTCTAGCCTTTTAGCAAGATAGTTTTTGTAGGGAAAGAGTGAACTCAGAACACTGATGTGGTTAAAGTTAGACACCAGGTTCTGAGCTCCTGGGTACATTATTTCTTCCCTTCTTTGGTCCAGTTCCCTGAGAAGATTAATCATATGTGTATTAGTGTACTTGGGATGTGTTTACTATAGATGACTAGAATGTGAACGAAGGTTCCAGCCTTGTGTAATTCTTACAGTGAAGAAGCACACTAAAGATGCTCAAGTTCCAGGATTGCAGTCATGCTTTCAGATCTTCATTCATAGGAAATCTGGACTGGAAAGATTTCTCTGTGGGATACTATTCTCTAAGAATGGGCTCCTAAATCAAATAAAAACTCCTGTATAAATTCATTGAACATTATACTTTAATATCATCTGTATGCCAATGGGGGTAAGTCTAAGGAAAATTATATTTATTGATTTGTTTTAAAATCAACATTTTATGTTTATCTTGAAAACTAGATGCAGCGTCACTGATCTGCATGTCTTAAAATATTATATAAACAAGAGGCCCGGTGCATGAAATTCGTGCATGGAGGGGGGTTGTTCCTCAACCCAGCCTGCACACTCTCCAATCTGGGACCCCTCAGGGAACATCCCTCTCACAATCCGGGACTGCTGGCTCCTAACCACTTGCCTGCCTGCCTGCCTGCCTGCCTGCCTGCCTGATTGCTCCTAACCACTCCCCTGCCAGCCTGATTGATGCCTAACTGCTCCCCTGCTGGCCCAATTGCCTCCAACTGCCCTCCCCTGCTGACCTGATAGCCCGCAACTTCCCTCCCCTGCCAGCCTGATGGCCCCCAACTGCCCTCCCCTACCAGCCATCTTGTGGCTGCCATCTCATGGTGGCCATCTTGTGACAACGTCACGCGAGAGCATTGCACGATGCCACTTAGGCTTTTATTATATAGGATAGTATCATATATGTTACTTTTATTTTGCTTCTTTTACATATTCTAGATACAAATTCATTATCAGATATATGACTTGCAAATTGTTCCCCATTTCTTTGGACTGTCTTTTTACTTTCTGATGGTGTCCTTTGAAGGACAAAGGTTTTTAATTTTGATGAAGTCTACTGTATCTATTTTTTCTTTGTTGCTTATGAGTTTGGTGTATTTTAAATAAGAACATTTACCAAATTCTAAGTCATGAAGATTTATCTCTGTGTTTTCACTTAAGAGTTTTATAGTTTATTGCTCTCACATGTAAATCTTTGATCTATTTTGAGTTAATTTTTGTGTATGATTTAAGGCTCCAACTTCATTCTTTTTATGTAGCTATCTGGTTGTCCCAGTACCATTTGTCAAAAGACTATTCTTTGCCCTTTGAATGCTCTTGGCACTCTTGTCAAAAATCACTTGATCATAATTATATAGTTTTATTTCTAGGCTTCCAATTAAATTTCATTGATCTCTATGTCTATTGCTGTGCTAGTATCAGACTATGTCAATTACTATTGTTTTGTAGTAAGTTTTGAAATCTGCGTGAGTCCTCCTACCGTATGTATTTGGAATTATTGTCTATCCTTTTGCTAGTTATCTTCTCTTTGTCTCATTTTTATTTTCCAGTTCTTCTCTTTTGCCTACTTTTATGTTAAACAGTATTTTTGTGGAATATTTTTATTCTCTATCAGCTTATTAGCTTTCTTTGTATTATTTTTAGTGTCTGCTCTAGGGACCATAATGCAACTTTAATTTTAAGTAAAATATAGGATCCCTACAGTAGCGTTGTTCCATTTACCTACTCTGATCCTTTGTGCTATTGCTATCATATACATTACTTATCTATATCTATATTAAAAACCTAAAAGTATTGTGTTATAATTTTACTTAATGAGTTCTGTCTTTTAAAGAAAGTAAGAGAATATGTATGTATTTTACTTTCTGTATATCCAAGTTATCACTCGGTATGATTTTAGTTCAGCTTGAAGTATTTCTTTAGCATTTATTGAATGCAGACCTATTAGCAACAAATTCTCTCATTTTTAATTATTTGAAAATTTCTTTGAACCTTTAATTTTGAAGAATAATTTTAGAATAGCCTTTTATTGGAAGACAGATTTTTTTCCCTTAACTATTTAAATATCATCCCATTCTCTTGTAGCTTCTATTATCCTAACGAGAAATTAGCTGTTAATCATATTTTTGTTCTCCTTTGTTTAATGTATTGTTTTTCTTTGTTGTAGTCAAGATTGTTCTCATTATCTTTTGCTTCTAGTAGGGTTTGATTATAATGTGCTTGGTGCAATTTCCTCTGTTTATTCTATTTTGGGGCATCATTGAACATCTTGTAGTTGAGAGCTCCTTTTCTGCTCCTATTTGACTCTAGTATCTTTTATGATTTATGAAATAGGTTTTAAGCTTTGTTAAAATGCTTAGAAATAAAATGGGGAAGTACTGATGAAATGCTACAATTTTAAAATGAAAATTAGTTCATTAAATATATATACAACCCAGCACATTTACAGTGGAAAATATTAATGTTACCTGTCCTCTTTTCCTATTTTCACAATATCTGTTTATAGGTGCATTTCCTCCCTCTGCTATTTATGCACGAAAAGACTTGCTACAACGATCTACCCATATTGCTACCAAGACTTTCCAAGCTTTCCGCATATTTGTGAACAATGAACTCAATGAACTTTATGCAGGACTGAAGACAGCTCAGAAGTTTCTGAGACCTGGTGGTCGTCTTGTTGCCCTCTCCTTCCATTCACTAGAGGATCGCATTGTCAAACGATTCTTGCTTGGGATAAGCATGACAGAAAGATTTAATCTAAGTGTAAGACAGAAGGTGACACAAACATCACAGTTGGGTTCAGGGGATGAAAACAAGGATGGAGTCTCTCTAGCAAGGGCCCCTTTAATGTGGGAATTGATACACAAGAAGGTACTTACCCCAGAAGATCAGGATGTACAGGATAACCCCAGAGGGCGCTCGGCCAAACTTAGAGCAGCTATCAAATTATGAGAAAGTCATAATCATCTGATCCTTGAAGTGTTCCCTCACAGTTTCTCACCTGAACAGGTTAACACAAGAAATTATGGGGATATATATTTATATAGGTATGTGGTCATATGTGTGGACATTGAGAATTTTTAGCATTTTTTTTCTCACAGAGAAAATGTAGGTAATATTAATATGGCACAGAAAGTTCAACTCAAGGAGCAGCAGTATCTCAAAACTGGACAAATGGGTTTATCTGGGCATTATTCAGGAAAATGCATCTTACCAGTTATGGCTACATAATATAAATTGGTGATTCCAAGTAAATAAAATAGCAATATAGTTACATGTGCAAAAGATAAGAATTAAATACTTAAGTTCGCTTTAGACTGACTTTATCTACCTCTGTAATATGTAACTTTAGTTTCAAAGCTTGTTGATCGTTTTTATTCTATAGGCTTTATTCAAATCTGAACAATTCTTCATTGAAATCAGAAATAGAAAATATTCTAGGGGACAATGTGCTCAAGTTAGAAACAAACAAATGCACCTAGAAAAATGTAAGTTTCTTTTTTGCATGAAGTCATATTTACTAATGAGAGAGATTCCCGAAGGTAAATTCCCATCCAAGTACCTGATTAACAAATAAAAGATCACACTCTTATATTCAACAATGTTTCATCTGTTTCATCAGTTATTTTTAGACCTGTATACTATGGGAATTTTTTCATTAATGTTAATGAAACTGACAGCCTTGGGTTGGACAATGTCCTTCCAAAATCCATGTCCTTCACAGAACCTCAGAATGTAACCTTATTTGAAAATATGGTCATTGCAGATGTAAGTGGTTGGGACGATATGTACTGGAGCAGGGCAGGCCCTTTATCAAATGTGTCTGATGTCCTTGTAAGAAGCTGAGAAGAGTCAGAGGCAGAGGGAAAACCACATGAAGATGGAAGCAGAAATTGGAGTGATACATCTGCAAACCAAGGGAAGCCAAGGGCTGCTGGCAACCATCAGAACCTAGGAGAGAAGCATGAAATAGATTCTCCATCAGAGTCTTCAGGAGGAACCAGCTGTGCTGACACCTTGATTTCAGACTTCCAGCCTCCAAAACAGTCAGAGAATAAATTTCTGCTATTGTAAGCCACCCAATTTGTGGTAATTTGTTACAGCAGCCCTAGGAAACTAAAACTCTGACAGCAAAAAATCTTGAATAAGTTGCATGACTAGAAGGCTTCTTCAGTAAACACAAAATTGCTTTCAAAATGTTGTAGTGTAAAAATATATTGGCTACTTTATGTAATTAGACTGTTTACCACAATCATTCTTGCTTGCTTTTTGTCTCTAAAATAAAATATATGAATGAGGCTTGGGAGTGGGGAGATAAAGAATCAAACTCAAGTGCATGGCACTCAACAGTTTTCACCTATTTCCCCACCCTGCTATCCTTTGGCAACCATCAGCTTGCTCTCTGTACCTGTGGATCTGCTTGTTTTGTTTTGTTCCTTTGTTTTGTTTTTTAGTTTGTTTTTTTAGACTTCATGTGTAGGTAAAATCATACAGTATTTGTCTTTCTCCTATTTATTTCACTTTAGCAGAATACCCTCTAGGACCATCCATTTTATCTCAAATACTAAGATTTTATTCCTGTTTTTGCTGATTAATATTCCATTGTATATATGTACCACTTCTTCATCTATTCACTTATGAATACCTAAGCTGCTTTTATATCATTGCTATTGTCCATCATGCTGCAGTGACCTAAAGCTGCATATACCTTTTTGAATTCATGTTTTTGTTTTCTTCAGATAAATAACCATAAAGAGTATTGTTGGGTCATATGGCAGCTCTATTTTTAATTTTTTGAGGAATCTCCATACTGTTCTCCATAGTGGCTGCACCGATTTACAATCCCACCAACAGTGAGTGAGGGTTCTATTTTCTTCATATCACTTGTTATTTGTTGATATTTTTATGATAACCTTTGTTAAAAGAGTGAGGTGATATTTCATTGTGACTTTAATTTGCATTTCCCTAATCTTTTATTTGTCAGTATCTTTTCTTATGTCTGTTGGCCATCTTCATGTCTTTGGAGAAATGTCTATTCAGGTCCTCTGCCCACTTTTTAATATGAATGAGTTTTAAATGGTTAACTCTGGAGAATGTTTTTGGGGAATTCAAACAATACATATGGAAAATAAAAACTGATTGTTAGTATGAATATGCATTGCTTTTATAATAAAATATAAAGAATATAAAACAAGCAATTGTTTGACATTTCTGAAGCTCTGTATCAACTGCTTCTACCAATCATTTTAATACAGCATTGATGTCATTGTGGAGCACATCAATTCTTAAGTTTTAGATCATTGCTTATTAAGAAATTAAATTTAATAACTTCACACAATTTATAGTTGATATCCTTATTTTATATATTCTTTTTTATAATTGTATATGTTACTAAATAATCTTTTTGAAGTTTCTAGGGTTTTCTTTTTTGAGATACTAATCACATCTACATATATTTTATGTAATATGTAATATATGATTTGTGCTTAAATTCATTTATGTTACAACCAATAGTTTATAAGATAATACATTTTGCCTAATTAAGTTTTTGAAATTAACTACTATCTCTTAAAAATTTACATATTTCAAATATTATTTTACATTTTAATGCTTATGCATTTCTATTATAGACTGTTGCTTACACAAAAAATATCTATTAGAATACTGTAGCAATCACAAAAATTAAATAGAAAAATAGTTACATTAAAATAAATATTACAAAAGCAATTTTCAGTTATTCTTATCCATTGCAAAGATTCTAATATGGATCTAGATTATTATGAACACCCCATCAGGCAACTGGTTCCACAACCATCAAATCTCACAGAACTGGACAGTGCTATTCATCAGGCATGGTGTCAGATTCCTCGCATCACCTTTCTCAAATTTCATCTGTTTATAGCTACTATTTCCAACTGTTTGGTAACACACAACACTGCAGGAATACTAAGATAAAGTTTAAATATAAATTATTTTTTTAAGTCTGGTTACATAAACATTAAAAGTTCAATAGAATTAATTATGCAAGATGCAATGTTTATAGTTTATTATACCTATCATTTAGGTGGACCTTAAAATTCTTCACAGACTTTTTGGCCACTTCATTCTTTTCTCAATCTTGAAATGTTTAGACAGCAAAGGAAAGAAGTAAAATTTAATGTTCTGATATGCAAAGTAGAAAGTAGCTTCTTTGGTAATGTTACAACTCCTTAGACAATTCTTTATCTTAAAAACTAAAAAAGTTTTCTACCATTAGCATATGCCTTATTAACTATATCACTGCCCAGACACTAGAATACAAAACTGAAATCGAACAAGAGGACATGTTCCATTTATGATTCTCAAGTAATAGCTTTTGTTCATTAGACTCCATCTCTATGCTTTGGTCAATAATACTTGTCTGTCTTGCACAGGGTTGAAGATGTGTATTGCAAAAGAAGCATGGTGTGAGCCATTCTGCCGCAGGAAAAGTGTGGTCATGCAACTGTTACAGGTGTTAAACTGAGGAGAAGGTAGTATAGGAATGTAAATAACATACTGGTTTGGAATTAGAAAAAAAAGAAACAAGTTTGGATTCCAGGTCTACATATATTAGCTGAATATATGAACTTGAGCATTTTAATCTCCTGAATTTTTATTTATTTTACTTTAAAATAATGACATTATTGGTATTTTTCTCCTCCTGTTGCTATATAATCAACTAAATCAGCAAATAACCAGTCATGAAGCGATTAGGCATAATTTTTTTTAATCGCGTTTTTTACCCATATCTTCAGAAAAAAATCACTTCTACTGTCCTGGTAAACAACCTGCTTCCCTATTTATAATGGTCTGTCCCTCTAGCAACTTCAGCGCGAAATTATAGCAAATTTGCCTACAAACGTCAGGTGGTCGTAATAATCTGGCCGCTCAGTGTATTTGTGTGTGTGTGTGTGTGTGTGAATATATTTATTTTATTTTTTATTTTTTTACGGAGAGGAAGGGAGAGGAAGAGGGATAGAGAGTTAGAAACATCGATGAGAGAGAAACATTGATTCAGCTGCCTCCTGCACACTCCCTACTGGGGATGTGCCCGCAACCAAGGTACATGCCCTTGACCGGAATCGAACCTGGGACCCTTCAATCTGCAGACCGATGCTCTATCCACTGAGCCAAACTGGTCAAAGCATCACTGATATTTCTAACTCTCCTCTCCCTCTCCCTTCCTCTCTGAAATCAATAAAAATATATTTTTAAAAAATTCAAATAAAATTAAATGTTATTTAAAGATAAGATACTTGGTCTGATGTACCTTTTTTAATTAAAAATTGCTTATTTCTTCTTCTTAGGGATATGTTCTTAGTGATATGTAAAAGATATTCTTTGTCAATCATGTTCAATTCTAGGTGGAGGCATTTGGGGTGTTTACTCATTCTGTGTTAAACATAACAGAAGTATTTTTCTGTGTTATATAAATGTTTATAATGAGCATATATCCATTTTATAAAGACCATCCAGTTAGTATTATTGTTTTCAAGGAGCACAGGTTTAGAATTGGACAGACTTATGTATAAATCCTGGCTCTGACACTAAGTAGCAATGTAGCCTTAGAAAATTTCCTTGATCTCTGAACCCCAGTTTGTTTATCTGAAAAATGAGGTGGTTATCCTATATAATAAAAGAGAAACATGTAAATTGTCCCTCTGCTATGCTCACCAGCCAATCAGGAGTGAGTATTCAAATTAACCTGACAAAAATGGAAGGTTAATTTGCATACGCAGGTGTCAAGTACCCTGGGAGACGAGGGCGGCTGCAGGCTCCCAGGACCATCGCCAACCCCGGGAGGCGAGGCCAGCCGCGCCTAGCCATGCCTGCAGGCTCCCGGGACCTTTGCCACCCCGGGAGGCAAGGCCTTAGCCATGCCCACAGGCTCCTGGGACCTTTGCCGACGGAGAGCAGATTGAGAGAGCGGGAAGTTTGGAGGACTTGGCAGAGCAGGAGGCTGCTGGACATAGAGCAGAGAGAGAGGGCAGCTTGGAGGGCATGGCTCCCTCTGTCACCCCAGCTTCCTCATCACAGCTGTGGAAACTGACAGCAGGGAGGAGGAAGTGCCCCCCCCCCCAGAATCAGCTGTTGGTCAAACAGCTCTCAGCGGCCTGACAGCCAGGACTCTCATACACCTGCATCTCAGACCGTGACAGTAGAGAGGTGGGACTATGACTAAAGAACAACTGTTGATACACGTAGCTCTGCAGCTGAAAGATGCCGGCATCATCGACAGAAAATGTCTAAAAACCAATGTGCCTTTGAAGTTAAAAGAAGGCAGTGGCGATGACAGAATATGCTTAGAGAACAGTCATCAACAAGTACTACCAATACTGGTAGGAACTGCCTTCTCAGCAAAAATGGAGTACATGAGGATACAATTCACTGTTAGATGTGAATTTTGCCTATCACTAAATTTCTCGGATGAAAAACCATTTGATGGGAAATTTACTTGATGTTGTAGCAAAGGGAAAGTTTGTCCAAATGATATACATTTTCCAGATTACCCAGCATATTTAAAAAGATTAATGGCAAACGAAGATTATGACAGTAAAAATTTCATGGAAA